TTTCTGAAACAGCCACTGGCTTTACTGCATGTCAGTAATCCTTCCAGCTAGTATTCTGCAGAGTCTTAGTGATCCCCAGCACTTTTAGAAGTTCACAAAAAAGCAACAGTGGCCAGCAGATTTTAATTAGCCATATGTATTTTTGGAGTTCATAACTTGAAGAAAGTTGAAGGCTACAGTGCACAACTCACATGAATGTCTACTTGTGTATATATGTGCACTAAGATGTTTTTGAGTTTATTAGATATTTTTTCTTAAGACTTTCATACTCTTAATAATGAAAATTTGAACATGTCTATGCATGACAGCAATGTAAATCATTCCTCTACACTATGGCCATATTTACTAAGCAGTCTCCTGTTTTAACTGATGATTTCAAAGACCTTTGCCATGAATTGGAGTGGACTCTCCCTGAAGAACCTTTTAATCTAGTTTGGCTCCTTGCACTTGCCTAAGTAAACTCATACTTCCTGTTGAGTGGAACCATCAGTGAGAGGTTCTGATCTAAAAACCATTCACACGTAGTTTCTTCACACAGTGACACACCTACTGTTGATGCAAAAACACTCCAACATAGCAGAGGTTAAAAATGTTTCTAATTCCCTTCCGCACTCAAAACTATCAATTTATAGAATATTCAAATGGCAAAGCAAGCTGAGCATGAAGACAATGCCATGAAGAAAGTACTGAAATAGGTCATTCAGTTTTACAATTGCAGTGCTACAGAAGTAATATTAGTAATTTTTTTAATTTCCTTTGAAACAATACATCCAATGATGTATATGTATGGGCTCCAAGTTGGAAATTTTTGTCAGAACTGGGAAAACTCCTGAAAAAATTGCAAACTACTACTTATAATTTAGTTTGGATTCAGAGAATTGAGATTTTTGAAGGCACCCAGCCTGTCTGGGTGTATTTGGTAGCCAAGCAAATCCAGAGCTTAGAGGCAATTCAGCTGTGGCCTATAAATATATCACAGACTACACGCTAGGGAAGAAGAAAAGCTTCTCATGAATATGTTTATGCTGGAAATTAGAAGGTTACTCAGTCCTCACAGCAATGATGCTTCAGAACAACCTTTCACTAGAGAAATGAGGCAAAGTCATTTTAAGTGTCTTCTTGATTAGCTGCAGGGATGATCCTGTGGTTGTCTGTGACAAGAAATGACAGTGTTTGAATCTCTGGATAGGCTCCTTTTCAAAATATGCCCTTACTTTTCATGGTGGGAATTTTGGATGCTGAGTGTTTTGGAAAATCTGGGTTTTACCACATGTCTGAAACTAAGCAGAAGCCATTCATAAATATCCATTGACAATGAAGCTCTTCAAACCTCCTTTTCATATGGTATTAACATGAGGCATCTGGAAGGTAAGATCACAGGCTTCAGGTTGATTTGAATAAAAGGTTACAAAGATTTTTCTTTAAAAACCTAATAAATTCAGCATAAACACACAAAAGATACCTTGCTCAGACTTGCTAGCAGTTATTATACAACCCCTTCCAATTACCAGTTTATTACAGGGTATAACCTTCATGTTGCACACCACCTTATGCAAGCCCTGCTGATATTCTATGTGCTAGGAGTTGCCACGACCACACATTTCAGAGAGAATGAAGGTAATTATGGTATCCCTGGAGATGGGTGGCACCCTCTTGCCCAAGGGCACTCCGAGGCTAACCCCCATCAGCTACATCGTGCCCTGGAGGAGCACTTAGGGTGACATAGGCTGGAAAACAATGTGGAACTGCAGGGTGTAGACAAGGTACAGCTGCACCAAGCCAAAAGGGAGCTTTGCTTTGCTTGCTTTTCTTGTCATAAAACTAAATTAAGTTGGTCAAACCTGACAACTACACTAGTTTTTTGTTTTGATTTCCTCCAGCCTTGTCTCTCTGCTTCTCTGTGGTTTCAATTTGGCTTATGTGCTCCTGGTGGCCATGATCACAGATTGGTTTGGGGTATGTGTTCTGGACATTACTAAGGACGTTGCACTGCATTGTGGTGTTTCCTCCATCATGAGATGCTTTTGATTAGCTGCTTGAAATACAGGTTTCACAAGGAACTGCTGTGGCACAGAAGTTTGTCTGGAAAAACTAATTGAGGAGAAATGGCCCAATTAAGAAACTCATTGTACTTTCCCATTTCTAATGGCAAACTCTGCAACAATTTATGTCCTGTAGGAAGAGTCTGCAGACTTAGAAAAGGACCTCATTATTTTTTGAGTTGTCAAGCAGTGCAACTCATACAATCATCTGCACTTGGCAGTCCCCAGGACCAAACACTGCTGTAGAGGAAGGGTAAGTGTTGAGCAAAGCCTTCAACAAAAGCACAGCTCATTCTTAGCTTCTTCAGCTAATGACCAGCTTTTAGCTGACAGGTACATGCTGACCCATGTAACTGAAAGCATTGTGGACATCACTATTCCATGTAGCTAATCAGAATGATACACAGGTCAGCCTCACCACAGCTCTAACATAATTTCTCAGTCTCATCTAAAACAGAAAGCCCGAGAGGATTTCAGGGAATATTTCCTTAAAAATCCCCTTTCTCAAGGAAAGCTCAGCAGCAGCAGAGGAACAGACACAGAGCTCACTCAAAACGTCAGCTCTGAAAAACATTTGGTCATGTCTCTGCTGGCAGTTTCCTCTAGCAGGAGTGTTTTCCTGGATCCTGCCATTTAAATGCCTCCTGCTGGCAGCCAACTTGAACCCCCAGGCCTTCAGTCCATGAGCTCAGTACTAATGTCCTTCCACGCCTCAGAGGAGAATTCTCCACAGGAGAGGATACACCTAAAATAATTATAATAATACATAAGTATAATAATATAATAAAATATGGTGTTTTTCCAGTTGAACGATTTCAGGCACCAAAACACACACAGAAATATTCTCATAAGGTAAATTCTCTCTTTTGACAAGAAAACAGGCAATCAAGACAAACAGGTCAGCAGCTGGTTGAGCAACCTCTAGAGCCATGGCCCAGAGGATTTATTTATCTTTGAAGAACATACTTCGTTCAAGTAAGCTCTATTGTTAAAAGGAAAATACATGGGAACATTCAACCTTTATCAACCCTGCTCTTACCCAGTATCTTCTGAGTAAGGCTTTTTCAGACCCTGTGTAGTACTTGCACATGATTATACTTTGTACAAAGACACAAAACCAGAATAAGGGTTCCAACCTGAATAAGGGTTCTATGATCACTTGCGACATGAACATGAAAGTGCAGTTGAAAGCTATTGGTTTGTTTTCCATACATGATTCATTTGTATTGCCTTCATCATATCCCATTAGTGAAGCAGAAAATTCCTACTTCTTTGTAGGAGTCGATAGTTGACACCTTTCCTGCTTCCTCCTCCAGTTATTTAACTGTGCAAGTTGATCTAATGACTTGCTGCTACTGAAATTCTTACCGTTTGCTCCCTAGCCCATGGCTGCACCACCCACCCCTTCATTTCGAAGTAGCTCTGGCCCACATACATTTCTAAAAGCCAGTTTGGCTCATTAAACCCCCTCCTCCATTTTTGTTGTTTGTTTTCTCCCCTTTTATTAGATTAAATCAGCTCTCTGGAGCTGACCAAGCAGCAGAAACTGCACAAAGCCAGCAGATTTCTGGGCAGAAAGAGAATTCCCAATTTCCATCAGCAGCGAGCCAGTAACCAAAAAACACAGAGCCAACAGAGCAGTCAGGGAACCTGCCACATGTGCACAGCCTAAAACCAGATTAGCTGTGCTCCTGCTAGAGGCTCTGGAATCAACACTGGCTTTGCACGAAGAGGCTCACTCCATCAGTTTCGCCAGCTCATCTGCTCAGGCAGCATCCTTCAACAGCAAAGTGGCAAGATCTGAACACTGCCACAAGCACTGCTGCAGTGATCATCCAAGCAGAACCCTGGAGGGTGCAAACCTACTGCTGAGGGATGCAGAGAAAACCAATAGGCACCAGATTTAGCAAGGAGGAGTGGTATCCACACAAAGAACTTTATTTTAATCAACACAGCAGTTTAAAAGCAAACTTTTAAAGGAGGGGGAAAAAAAAAAAAGAACTTTATGTGTGCATGTTTAATAAAAACATTTGCTCTAAGACAAAAATAATTTACATTCTGATAACTCACATTCAAAAATAAATAGAGAAAGGCATCAGGGCATAACATTCAAATGAGTATCTAGTAAAAGCAGTAATGTATTTGTATTAATAATCAAGAATGTAACACTGCAGTATTTCATCTTGGATCTGTGAACACAAATGTCACCACCTACCCAGCAACAACTGAAGACAGGTACACCATTAGGAGCACAGACACTGATTTCTGTTAAATTAAAAAGGTAAGAATTGTACTTAACAAAAATCTTCTCCAAACTGGTATCACAGAAAAACCACTCTGAGTGGCAAACAACAAAAAATACTGAAATAACTAAAGAAAACTAGTTTAAAAAGGAATTTGGTTAACAAATCGGAATCACAATGCAGGACTACCTCTCCCCCAAAATATCCACTTGATTATTTTGCTCTAAGGTACGTAACACAGCACACAGAAAAGTTATTCTATTTTAGTATAGCACTAAAACGCAGGCTTTTGCCATTTGGTCCATTTACATTTTGTTGATTATTTTAGCCTGCTGTATTGGAAAGAAAAGTTGTATGTCTCTCAATCTTTGGATATAAAAAACAAAGAAATTACATTCTTCAGCATAAAAGCAAATTTTTGAGAAACCTGTGCATTTCTTTTTTGGTTTGGTGTGTGGTTTTTTTGGGCTTTTTTGTTGGTTTTTTTGTGGGGTTTTTTTTGTTTGGGTTAGGTTTTTTTAATTAAGCACATATATTTTGTTACTTTCATTCATGCAAAAACTCTGAATTAATCCCATTCCAGATGAGGATTTTACCATAAAATCTAAATAGTCAATTTATCAGAGAACAGAACAAAGGAAAAAAGCTTCATCCACATATTATGTTGCCACTGGACTCTACTTAGTCACACTAACCTTACACATTTGCATTCTTAGAGATGCAGGCATAACGATTCATTCAGGAAAACTAAAAGACACATTTAAAATAGAACAGATCTGATAACTATACTTACTCATTTTTACATAAGAGGCTCAAACACTTATAAAACTACATGTATCTGCCAGAGAACACAGACACTAAATTGTTTAAACGAACTACAAGTAACCACAGACTCAACAGTAATACTAAAGAAAAATTATTAATATCATTACAATATCAAATCCTTATCTTTCCTAAAAATGTAAGTGCAAATCACAAGTTGCAATTCAAACATGTAGAGAGCTTGAAATGAGTAAAATAATTCAGGTGTATAACATCATTAATATTCTGTGTTAGCCATGTAATATTCAAATAGAAATTGGAATTTTAATTAGAGTTTTTTTTGGTTTTTTGTGAAGAAGTGTTAAATTCAATGGGGTTGTGTCTCTGAAGGAGCAGGAAGAATCCTCCGACAAACATTCTGTCATTGCTAAATTGTGCCTTAGGCAATGTACTCAATTAGGTCGGTTTTGGCAAGTAGATTTGCAAAGCAATCACCTGTGAAATCACAAACAAAATCTATTCACACTCTTAAGGTATGCAGCCTTCAATCAACATCTCATAGTATATTATGAACAAACATATTATTCGTGTAGCAATAGGTACAGAAGACCTGCCCAAAAGTCCCCCAGCTCCACACCAATGCTTTAGCTTTTAAGCAGAATACATATTTCCCAAATTTGATACCCATTCTCAGGACTCTATAGGGCAACTGTCACCTATTGTACTATGTTAACTTGACATATACTACAGTAGAATTAGATATATACCTGAAAAATCCAGCTTGCAAAGATTAGAAATGTATCAAGCTGCCAGTAAACAGTTCCTATATCTACATATGACGGTGCAAGTCAGCAGTGTCATAAAGGCACTTGTCTCTCACAGACAGTACTGTTTTTTCTAATCAGTCAAAAATAGATCTTAAAAAAATTTATTGTAACGTCCGAAATGGTTTTTACTCCTTAAAAGTGGTGCAAATTATCACCAATAGAACAATAATTCATTAGTTCATCCTGAAAGAGCCGAGTGCAAATTATCCGTAACTGAATATATCTTTACATTTATCTATATTCTTTATATATATCTATATATACTTAAATAATTTTAATGCCATGCTCTCAAAAATGCCAAAAAACATGCTATAGTAGAAATGTGATTGGCACTAGCAGCCACAAATAAAAAGTTAGGTGCATATAATAGTATAAGCAAGCTTTTTATGAAGCTACTAAAACAATTAGTGAGTGAGTTGCAAAGAGAGACATTTGCCACAAGTCTTTCCAAGACATGCTTGAAGCCACACCTGACCATGTAGCACGCACTTACATCATTATAGAACTTACATCATTATAGGGACATCTTTATAGCTGGCTACCTAATTTTACAAAAATAATTCCAAAATGCACATTTCACTTCAAAGTGAACTCTGTTTCTGTTTTCGCCAAATGTGAAAACCAGATGCAACAGCAGAGTTTAAAAAGACACCTAAGCAACCACTAAATAAAGTTCAGTGCAGTTTTCAAGGGTTTATGGATGGCAGTTTGAAATCCTCAAAATCCCCTTTATCTGTTTGGTACAAACGTACAGATTTTCCTCTCCAAGTCTCAGTACGCTAAAGCAATGACTTGAAATAATTTCCACCAACAAAAGACCTGGTTTTGCAAATCAAAGGGCTCAGGTATTACAAAAATTGACATAATTGGCATTGCCTATGTAAATCCTAATTTGCAGCTGGCATTATAGCTCCATTAACTAAGAAATCTAGATGGTATGATGGATGGAATAAATCAAGTACAGTCCAAAAGCCAGTAGGCTTTTTGCCCTTAGTACTTTATCTCATAACAGCACATTAACAGTACATCCAGACTGCTGTGAAGTTGCTGGATGGAGCCTCATGCCTGAATACTAACTTTCATGTCCAGTCTCCTTAAACAGTTTTGCCAGTACTGTACCATACATTTCTGTGTCTTTGAAAAACCTGCATTCACTGAACATTGCACAAGGCTATTGAAACTAAAACAAGAAAGGAAAAAAAAAAAAAAAAAAGCTATTTGATCAAGTATTAAGCTATTCCTTCAGGGAATTGCACTTCTCTGCTTATAGCAGTGACCAGAATTGCTGATGGTGTACTGACAGTTGCCATGGCAAGTGGGTGACTGCGTGGGATAGCAGACATATAGCCAAGTCAACTGCTTATGCAATCTCCATGATTTCAGCAAGCACAGAACACTTTATTATGTGCTGCCAATGATCTTCATAAAGTGCCAAAGGGAAAAATGTTCTTCTGTGTCAGGCCATGGCTGTTTCAGTATTCCCATTCATCTGTCTTCATGTCCAGATAGTAAAGAATATTCTGTGCAAGCTTTACTGCCTGCTTCCTGGCAGCCTTACACCGCTCATCACCTTGCGGATCAACAGCATCCAGGGCCAGAAGCTGTTTTGTAAGAAGTTCTTCCAGTCTCATGTAATTTTTATCTGTTCTGTTTCCATCAAATGAAATCACCTCTTGCTGAATTTGAGACAAGTTTCCAAGTACAGTCCAAACTGCTTTATGAGACTGATGTTCAGCAGCAGTTTGCTCTGGATACATTTGCCTTTTTTCCAGCGCTTCTTTCAAATCAATATATGTTATAAGAGTCTGAACTTCAATTACTGCTCTTCTCCTGGCCTCTCTAATACAGGGATTTTTTCCTGGACTCACTTCATCTAGCTGGGCAATTAGTCCCTGCAACTCTGCTTTGGATCCCAGATACAAATCAGACGCATTCTCTGTTTTTAAAAGTAAGGAATTAACTTCTTTCATCTTCTTACGGATCTCTTCTATTTTTAGAATAGACTGATTTTGTGCCAAATCATAAGCATGAGTAGAATTTGCTTCTTCATCCAAGTCCAGGTATTTCTGCAATTTATTGATCTCTTCTACTACTTCCTTTCTGTAATTTCTTATTTCCGTGTGACCGCAGACATCTAAAGCATCCAAATCAGCAATGAGGCCTGTGAGCACACAGGACAGATGCCTGCAGGTATCATTACTACTCACTCCCATTAGAAGCGCAATAAGAGTTCCTCTGGCTTTGTTCACTTCACACATTACAGAGTTAATTTTGGAGACAGAAGGATGTGCATCATTAGAGAGTGGCAGGGACAGCTGTTGCTTTACACCACTCTCTATAATCTCCTGAACAGCACATACCTTTGTCAGAGTTCGGTATCTTGCTTTGCGCAGAGAAACTTTCCCTCCAGTTTTCACCTGGGTGAGCCTCAATACAATGTCCTGAATGCCTTCTTCAAATTCATCACTTATACAGTTCCCTCCTTTGTAAAAAAGGGTGATCTCGCGTTCCACAAGTGACTGTGCCTCCTTGAATAAAGCCTCTATTTCCAGTCTGCGCGGATGGTTTGCATTTTGTTCCAGTTCCTTCAGCAGCCTCTCAGTTTCCTGGGCAGCTCGCTTTCTGGCTTGCTGAATATCCCCCTTCCCTTCGGTGTCTACAGAATCGATTTCAAAAAGCTGTTTTGTAAGGCTTCTTTCCAATTTCTTGTAATCTCGGTCGGTAGACAGACCGCTGAAGACAGCCACTTGCTGTTCAATCTCTTTGACTTCTTTCTGTATTTCATGTAACCGTTTTATGGATGGGTGTTGGTTACCCATAGCCATTCCTTTTCCCTGGTCCAGCTCCAGAAGAACTACAAGGAAAATGAAAACAAGACTTGCTTAAGTGCTACACAAGCACACGTTACAACTTTTACGTTCTGAAGCACTTCCGCATTACAGTTATTTTAAGTATCTTCACCAATACGAATAAACCACTTGTCTGATATTTCGAAGCCCTTTAATTTTTTACACCTTTCTCCCGGGCGGGCCGCAGGGACGATGCTTTAGTTGCCACACGCCCAGCTCTCGGCTGTTCACCCCCAGCATTCCGCCCTGCAGAGCTGAAGCCGCCGCAGAACTCTGAAGCACCCGCAGCCCACGGGAGAACCCGGAGGGGGGGGAAGAACAGCGGCCGAACCCGACCGCCGCCGGGAGATACAAGCCCGGGGCAGCGCTCCTTCCCCGCACATACCTTTCTCCCCCTCAGCACTTGCCGCCCCCAGCCCCTCCATGGCCGCAACCTCCGGCCTCCCCCGCGATGGGGCCCGGCGCAGCACGAAGAGGAAATGACAGCGGGCCGCCGCCGATGTACCTGCGGGAGGCTCGTCCCCACCGGCCCCGCAGCGAACCCGCGCGGCACTCC